GAGAGAGAGAGAGAGAGAGAGAGAGAGAGCGAAAGAGAGGGGGGGGGGCTAGACGATTCGTACGTGTGTTGACGTGTTCGGGTCGGGAGCGAAATGGTGTGGGAAAATCTATTCAAAAAATATATTATATATAGAAGTAAAATCACACACGAACACCCATGTAGTAGATAAAAACAAAGTCAAATAAAATTTAATTAACAAGCTTTCGAGATGTACATCTCTTCATCAGGCAATTCAGCAGACATTGGATATCCTGGTGGTATATCCTGGTGGTATCACATGAAATGGTTCCCGAGTACACTCGTTTCGACTAGGAATTGAACGATGGGATTACTAACAATTTTATTAGGTTAGCGCGCGTGTCAACGCCCTTGGGGTGACTTTGTCGGTACAGTGTGTGTTCACCTTTGTTATTCTCGTGTACGCCCACAGGTCACATAGAGCGATGCATACACTCCGAGCCATAGAGAGATACAATAGTCTTACTAGTTTATATCTTATTTCTATGCACTGAGCCCTCGGCTACCTGCCCTTGGTAGCATGTAGATTTTCCGATCATTAGCATTTACAAACCGCCATTCGAAATGCGATATATGTCACACGCACAGGGAATCACCAGTGCAGTCACTGCAGTGCATGCTCCACGTTTTGTTACTGCGCAAATTAAACAGCAATATCTCATTGACAATAAACTGTATGGACACCATCGGGGAACCCGGCTGCTGACTTAGATGGTTTCACAGGATAAGAGATTTCTCGTGAAGATAGTAGTATAGAAAACTCGCATAGACACGTAGGCTGACAAATTACGGTCGTAATTCCTGGGTGACCCGTTTTTCACGATAGATTAGGCTTTACCAGCCCTGACAGCTCTACCAGCCCTGCCAGCTTTACCAGCCCTGCCAGCTCTACCAGCTCTACCAACCCTGCCAGCTCTACCAGCTCTACCAGCCCGAACAGCCCTGCCAGCCCTCCCTGCCAGCTCTACCAGCTCTACCAACTCTACCAGCCTGCCAGCTCTACCAACCCTGCCAGCTCTACCAGCCCTGCCAGCTCTACCAACCCTGCCAGCTCTACCAGCTCTACCAGCCCGAACAGCCCTGCCAGCCCTACCAACCCTGCCAGCTCTACCAGCTCTACCAACTCTACCTGCCCTGCCAGCTCTAACAGCCCTGCCAGCTCTACCAACCCTGCCAGCTCTACCAGCCCTGTCAGCCCTGCCAGCCCTGCCAGCCCTGCCAGCTCTACCAACTGTAGCAGCCTGCCCTGTAACCCACCGATGACAAAAGAACGAAAGAAGAAGAAGAAGAAGAAGGGTCGATTATATTCCGGTCCGTTGCCTCCTAACACAATGAACTCAAAAGGCGACGCCACCCAAGATATGTAGGGGGAGGGGAGCGGGAGGTGGCGTATTATGCCTCCGTGTTTTCATTCGCCGTTGCGATGTCTTACGGCCGAAAAAATTAAGGTCGAGCAACGGGATAGTTATAGTGAATAGTGGATATATACTTGGAGCACGCTCATCCACGTTATGAGAAACGAGGTAGCTCGCGCCTGTTTAAACATTGAGTATACAAACCCCTTCATCACGCGGGAACGCCTGAAGAGGTTCGTGCCGGTTGCAACACTTGCCTGATGCGGACAGGCGACAACACCGTGGATGCTCCGCCCTAGTACGGCAGCACTGCGCCGACGGCACACCGCGCAGACGAGTGCACACTCGATTTTTCGCGCAAGTGGCGGTAAAGCCCGGCGCACACGTGAGTAATTTTACTCAAGTAAAATGACGCATGCGTCAAATTACTCAACGAAAATCCGCCGCACACGTGAGTAAAATGACGCATGCGTCAAATTACTCAACGAAAATCCGCCGCACACGTGAGTAAAATGACTCATGCGTCATTTTACTTGAGTAGAATTACGCACGCGTGTGTGCGCCGGACTTAAGGGTTAAATAAGTGAATAAATCAGTCAATGATGCGGTTGAGAAAGCAAGGCGCTGTTTCCGCAAAGAGGATGACTGTGCGAATTTCAGCTGCACCTGATGTCCGCGGGTGTTCGGGGTTCGTTGAATGAGTCGACAATTAGAAGTAAGCAGGTTTCATATGAGAAGACACCTAAATTATAAACGTCGAAGGAAAGATAGCATGGCAGCAAAGTGTTGAACGTATATCCGTGGATGGCGTTATATATTCATATCATAATATTACCATTAGTTAGACCGCAAGCAATTTTCTAGAATCATAACCGTCAGGGGTTTCATTAACGGTTTCTCACGAACTCACACTCCTGCGAAAATGCGACTTTACTGGTTTTTCTAATTCGATCGAGATTAATTCTTGCGTTCAAGCCACCTGAGCAGCCCTGCCTAAATTCATTACGCAGGTGCTAAATTGGTACTGCCATGCAGGCGCTAAAACTATAAATCACTCTAGTGGGAATACTGACATGTAGCAGTAGCACCAGGTCACTTGCATGTCAAAACATGTAAATTCTACGCACAAACGTATACACAGAGTATTTTGCCTTTTCTGTACGCCATGTTAGAAAAAAATACACGGGTTAAGTTAATGTTAAGTTTAATTCAATTAATTGCTGTTCGAGCATCTCAGATTCACGTATAACTTGCATATTCACCTTATTATAGATTGTTAAACAAAATAGGCGGTCCAACTCCAGGCAATGAGCAATGTTCAATCGGGATTGATTTAATAACATAATCGTTTGGTACGTTGCAATATATAACCATTTTTCAGACCACGAAAATGTGTTAGAAGACTACCAAATGATACAATCGCCTATCCAACTAGTTCAGCCAGCAACAGCCGCCTTGTACGATACGTTTGCTCATAGATAGTATTATATATATATATATATACACATATATATATATAGAGAGAGAGAGATATATATATATATATATATATATAGATTTATATAGCTAGATATATAGATATATAGATAGATAGATAGATATATAGCTAAATAGATAGATATAGATCATTTATATAGATAGATGGATAGAATGCGCAGTTTCTACATGTTGCGATCGGGCATCGGCATCGGCATCGGGCATGTTGATCGGACATCAGCCGAATTTCAACACCGTTGACTTTAAAGAAACCCTTATAAAAGAGAGCCATCACTAACATTTCTCGTGACAGTTCTCACACGTGCATGGACAGTTAACGACTACGGATAAGTGAAACGAAATAAAACTGGTTTAGCAGTTACATAAAACAGCGCGTCTCAAGATTGCGGAACTTGTTACGACATCCATGCAGTCACGTAGGCGACGAAGCATTTCGTTTGGTGACCGTGCCGCCATACCACCGACCACGTACCATGCACCGACAGCTTAATTAATCAATGTGTCTCGTTAGTCGCCGCAATGCACTGTGTGCATCATGGCTGGCTGCACGCCGATGTGTAACGCTAGCTAAAAAAAAGTCGGATTTTACTCGTGATTGCGTGAAGTAGAAATGACGCCGGTGTCCTCAGCGATATTTTCGTAGGCCAGAGAAAAGCAGCAGTAGAATACACCGGGGTGCGATATAGAGCCAGACTATAGACAGTATTTACGACAATTTACGTGCAGTCGCTCAAACGAGCAAGTGTATAGGCTCTAGAAAATATCAAGTTAGATGAAAAGTCTGTGAAAAAGTTGGTACCGAAAAGTATCGAACGTCTTTAAGAAACCTCCGCCTTAGTCAGTGGCGAAACGTGAGGGCCAGGTTTAGGGAGGTGGCAGTGTATGTATATGCAAAGCTATATGTAAGTGCAAAATGCAAATGGTATGAGGCGAGATTATCTGTATACTTCGTATATAAAGCAACTGCAAAGGCATTGCCAGTTAGAAACCATTCACCACTATCTCCGCCTCCAGTTAGGAAACTGTAGTTGCAGCTCAAATAGAGGAAGACTTCAAGGCAGAATATAGAGAATGTTTGCTTTGGCGAAAACCCGGGGACGTGAGACATAAAGTAAATATGCAAAGATAAACTAAGTAAGCTCTTGGACTAGCATTATTTCTGTGGGAGTGTGTATCTTTCTTTTTCGCCTTTTCTGCCTCTGCCTCTCCCTCTCTCTTTCTCGCTTTCTCTCGCTTTCTCTCGATCACTCTCTCCCACGTCCCCTGATCCTCTTTACTTTTCTCTCTCTCGCTCTTTATTCTTCATGCGTGTATGCGTGCGTGTGTATCTGTGTGTGTGGGGGGTGCGCGCGTATGCTTGTGTCAACGAATAAGTAGATATAAAATATTTCACAATAATTTTATGAAATAATAGTGCTTGACAACAATATCTTTCTTTCGAAAAACCATGCAAGCAACCAGGCGTGTTGTAAAAAATATTGAACTTGCGTACCAGGTCATGGATGTCAACTGGTTCGCCTTCAAATCGCCGGGCATGGTTTAATGGCGTCGTAATCCGGTCACACCTGAACTGAACCTGTATAAAAAAAACAAGTGTGACAATGTCGGATTTGAAATGCAAGCAACGAGAGTCCGAGTAAACTTTGTCAGAACAAACTTTTTTTTCGTATAAGACTGACCGTGTTCAGTCTATATATATGCTATACCATTATATATAGCATGTCAATAGCAAGGTGTCCTGATTCGATAACATAGTGGCCTTTATGGTATCGTTTAGTTACATGGTAATCCTAATGTGGAGCTTAATTCTGTGTGTTTTATATAGTGATATTCGGTGCCAAGCGAACCCATTGTTAGTAGAGGCGTAGATTCCTGTGGCGCGCACCTTTATGAAAAAGACACTGACCCACCCTCTCTCGCGCTCCCCCTCCCCCTCTCTACACACAGACGCGCACGCGCGCACACACTACACGCACACACACGCACACACACACCCACACACACACCCACACGCACACGCACACGCACACGCACACACACGCATGCGCACGCGCGCACGCACACACGCACACACACACACA